GCACCATCAATTAGCTGATGCCAGGAAAGATGTCTCTGAATATATTAAAATGCCTTTGGCAAATACCTGAAGGAAAGGTACGCCGAAGGTGGAAGACTCTCTCTAAGAAACGCTGCTTGCCCTTGCCTGCTAGGTTTGTGCTTTCCTCAGTCTGGGCTCTCATCAGTCAGCGCAGGGCACAGAAGTGGAAAAGCTCACCAGAACCATAGCGTCTAACCCTTGCTGCTGCAGGCACCATGTTATGAAACCCTTTCTTAAACTAATGTATCTGTTGAAAGCAGTCGTGTCTCCTGTTTGCCTCTGTTTTGGCAGGATTAACAAACTCAACTCTTTCAGCCTCCTCTCATAAGTCAGGTGTCTGTGGTCACTCCAGTGATCCCGCTTTGCACGTCTCCTGCTTTGTGGGCACCTCTGTCTCAGACAGGTGGCAAGTGTGCCACTCATCTGACCACTGTCCACAGTGTCATGGTCTGTCTGATGGGTCTGTGGCTGGCCGGCTCTCAGCCCTGGCTCTCCTGCCCTCTTCTGCTTGTACCTGGGTGTGCTGGGGATTCATGGCCATGCGACATCACCCTTATGCATGGGACATGCCTGGCACCCAAGGAGACCCCTCACGCGGGGTATGTTACGATCCATATGGGAAATCCAAGAGTGATATGAAATCCTTAGGGAGTGCAAGGCTTAGTTTTCTCTGGGACAGGGCAGAGAGGGTGGGGAACGAGATGCTGTATCACTACCAGTTGACTCCAGTGATGGAAAACACTTGACAGAGCAGAAGGCCTATGGTAGAAACCCTCCTCTTCCTGAATAGAACAGGTTTCCTAATTCCTCCTGTCCTCTGGCCAGTGAAGGACTGAGAGAATTAAATCAAAATGGATTTTGGGAGAGACTAAAAGCAATATGGTCAACTCCTGTGGCACTTTAAGAGTCTTCTTTAAGATCAACTTAGCCTTAGAGTCATTTAGTCAAATCTCTATTTTTCATTTCTAAAAGAATTTCTCTAGGTTTTTTGTTTCTAGAGAAAAGAACTGGAGATGTATACACTGCAGTTCTCAGAGCTAGAAATCACAAGACAACTAAAAGCTGCAACATGGATCAAAATCTAAGAACCTTATTTTTAGCATAAAATAGAGATAGTGTTTTTAGGCTCAGCTGCTCCTTAGCATTTAGGGGTTTACCCACACTGAGTGAAACTTAAACCATCAGAGTTTTAACAGGAATGGGTCAAACAGACTTTGACTTTTTAATCAGTGTTTCATTTAGTCTTAGGAAAAACTACGATTGCTACCAAAAGTCTTGTACTGGAAAAATATCCAATCAAAAGGTAATCCTGACTGCCTTCAAAGAAAAAGGGGCCCTGATTCAGGAGAGCACTTACACTTGCTTCCTACCGCCCCAGCCCTCACTCAGCCCTGCGCCTCTCACCTGCAGCCATCAGGGACAAGGCAATGGTGTTGCATGCCTGGGTTTCAGTCAAGAGTGGGCACTAATAAATCCTGCAGCCTTTAAAGCACATCAATAAATATGTTTATGATGAACACTAGAAGAGGTGAAACAAAGGTGGAAACAAAGTCGGGTCTCACCTTCATTTTAATGAATAAGGGGAGACAGCATAGGCTGGAGAGGGTGTACCCACCACAGTGACCCTGACAACTCTCTCTCTCCTCTTCACTGGCACCAGGCAGTGCCCACAGCGTCTCTTGTCTCTTGACAGTGGTAATGGGCCTAGCTGAAGAACAAGGGCCTGAGGATGGTATCGAGGTCATGCAATTAATTTCTGTGCTAAAGAACTAGAAAACGTTCTTCAAGAGTCCTTAAAACCTATTTTCATACAAGCTGAGGCTTACAGAAGCAGCTCCCCGAGCAGCAGGACGGCATTAAACAGTCTCATCCCTGTGGATTACCCAGTGTCTAATACGAACTGAATTCACCTCTTGTAGAAACTTGGTATCTTGAAACCTCTGCCTGTTTCTCCGATTCAGCTGAAATCAGCCAATGCCTTCCACAGCGTTGGGTAGGGGGTAGACAGAGCGAGACAGTATGATCACATATGTCTTGCATTCCTCGGACGGCACCCAAGAGGGAGAGGCAGCTCAGAGAGCTGGTAGGGGCGTACAACCAGATTAGATAACTGACTTCCCGCTGCTGAGAGAGGGAGAGACAGCGCTGCTTTCAGCACTCCTGGATAATAAGAAGTGATGTCATGACTAAAAAAAATATCACCTACTATCCTGCTCTGCTTCCCCCCAAAGATTGCTGAAATGGGTTGCTGAGAAAGAATTAAGATGTAATAGAGATGGAGATGAAAGAGAAAGAGAAAAAGCAACCAGTTCCTTCAGTTTAAACCAACTACAGAGCATCCTGGAAGAATGGCAAAAAAATTAACACAGTCAGAAAAAATAGAGCAGTTGCTTTTTCCCAGTGTGGTTTTTCAAGAGTATTTAACATTTGGATATTTCCTTTCACTGCTTTCTGCCATTCAGTCTTTTTTGTTATTTAGTTTTTCTAGATCAAAAGTGGCTTTTCCTATAAAACATAAAAAAATTTCCTAAGGCAAACTGTATTTCTGGCTGAGTCAATAATATGTGGTTTTCTGAAGCAGGATCAAGTGGAAAACTGAAAGACTAAATGCACTTACTGAGCAGACCAAGTGGCTCAAGAGTTGCCTGAGAGTCAAACTTTGATCTGATGCAGAGTTTGTTCAGGACTGAATGGCCAGGATAGGGCATGTGCATCATGGCACAGTCTGTGTACCACTCACGAGACAGTTATAGAAGTGAGGAATGGCGAGCTGGGAGCTCAAAGAGAAAGGTGTGGACCAGGATGGTAAACACAGTTATTCCCTGCTTTTTTATTCGGTAAGGAGACTGTGGAAGAACATTCGTTTTTCAGGTCAACAGCATCTGCATTCAGCCTCAGAGGACCTTTTCCACAACAGTTTGTGCTCCAGGATTGTGCTTGGGGAAGAGCATGAAGAAGCCAGGAAGGCTACAGATAATCAGGGAGGAGCAATGGGTGAAAATTAAATATCAAGAAATACTGAGCAAGGATGGATGGGCAAAAAAAAAAGGGACAAAAAGCCAGAGTCTGAAGAAAGAATTGCCCTTCTCTTGGCCTCAATGATACGCAGAGGGGCCTGAGGTCAGATTCAAGGACTGCCCGTGACAATGCAGCTTCTGTGTTTCCCTTGACAGACAGTGATCCAGCTGGGGAAAGGGATCATCCCTTCTGCTTTCCAGCTCTGGGGGAGTCAAGAGCAGTTCCCTGCCCGCTGTGTGGAGGCTCGGCTGCCTGATCTGAGGGCCATGGAGGGGGCAAGGGGAAGCAGCCAGGATCCTTGTTCATTGTTCCTCAACCCTCCTACCCACTGCACACTTCATTCCCTTAGGCAATGCTGCAGTCACTATGCTGAGTATTCAAAGGCAGCTCCAAGGACCCTGGCAATGGTCCTTATCAGCAGAGTCACACTAGCCTTATGGCCTTTGCCTGGAGCAATTTGGTGCCTTGTCTCAAACTTGAACATTCAGGCTACGTCAAGGATTTCAAGAGACAGATTGTGAAAGTCTCCCTGAAAGAGTCCTTGGGGAAATGTGATAAGCTAACTAGTGATGATGACAAGGGTCATTGCTGGGTTTAACCCGTCAAGGATCAAGAGTCCACTTCTGCCCTTCTCCACCTACCAATCATTTGAAGATAGTTCCTTTATAGAACCTCAAGTGCAATAACATTTGAGGAGAAGGACTATGAGGGGAAAGGCAGAGGCTGGAGGTTTAGGAAAGAATTAACAGGTCATTTTGAAGAGTACCAGGTCTAGCTTTGAAGCTGACTCTGCGTTGAGTAGTGGAGTGAGATATATCAGAGGTTTGAAGGGCAAATCTGAACTGTTATTTGATTCCATGTTTCTGTGTGAGAAATGTGATTTTTAATTTTTTTTTCCTATTCTCTTTCAGGACATTTACTGAGGCAGCCAGCAAATTAAAGACTTGGATAAGGAAGTGCAAGTGAGAATTGTTCTTCCTATTACTACCCAGTGCTGACAAGTGTGATACCAATGAAAAGAGGAAAATCAAGTGTTCATAGTATCATAGTTGCCAAAAAATGACTTGCTAACTTTTCTGTCCCAGACACAGCCTTTGATCAGAAAATGTGTGCTCATGTATAGTCCTAGGCAACTGGACAGCAACCCTTTGAAAAAGAAGGAACACCTTATCACAGGCAATGGGTCCTAAGAAAGTCTTCAAAACCACTGCATTAATAGTTCTCTACACACACACACACAAGTGTGCATGTGTCTGCACCCCCCACCTCCAATCCCCAACCCCCCGCAGAATCAACAGCTTTATAAAGACAGAAAATATCAGGTCATTCAAACAACATTTACCAGCTTGCTTTGTCCATCCAACCAGTTTTATAGCCCTAATGAATACAAAACAAGCATATTATCCCTTCAGGCAAGGCATTTGTCCAATGCCCTGCAAAGCACATCAGAAAACAGGCCTCAAACCTCCTTACTGTTCCTACGGACTTTCAACAGATAAAAGATTTTGCCATACGTAAGTTATTCAGCATACTTAAACCAAAGGTTTTAGGCTTAAATCAGGGTAAGCCAGAAGACTGGTATAGCTCACGTGGAACACAACATCACCAACATGTACTGTGGCATACTGGCTTTGCACCTTTTCAGGATTATACCTGGAACTGTGAGGTAGTTTTCCAATGGAGGAAATTACAATCTCATCACTAGAACAGAAAATTTCATTTTAAGCAACTGATTCTGCAAAGCAAAGCATTTATCAACTGATTCTGCAAAAGCAGGGAGGACAAAGGGATGCTCAAAGAAGATATTTTCATTTATAGCTCCCACAATTCCATAAATTGGACATGTCTTACAACATCTCATTAGTGACTTTCTTCAAGAGAAGAAATATCCACAGATTATCTGTCCTTAAGGCTCAGCTTTATCCACACATATTTTTTAGTCAAATTCTGTTGTCACTGACCTGTTCCACTCGGATATCAAATTCTCCATTCACCTTCTTCCCCTGGAAATATTTGGCCCTGCAGAAGAAATGAGAGAGACAAACATGGTTAGAGAAGACTTTTTGCTTTCATAACATACTGGTTTGCTTCTACTTTTCCCTTTTTGCTGAGGAATTTCTATCTGGGTCACAGCATGTTTTCATAATTCCTATCTTCTTTCAGCTTTCTGTTCTCCAGTAGAAACCTGCCAAGCCATATGAAAACCACATTGGAAGGTTCCTTCAAGGCTTGTAACTTTTTCATTTGATTTTCAAACTGAGCACTTTCATTTTTATTTCAAACTCAAGCCTATTCTCTTGCTCTCTTGCTACAGACCCACTTTTTGATTCTGAGAAACAGTACCTGCATCTACAGTGTTACTCATGAAGGATCTCTTCTTCCAAAATGAGAAACTGTGTTTGCTTTGGAGCTGAATAGTGTCATGAGAAGGACATTTACCTTCCGCTACCTCTGCTCCTAGCTGCCTATGCTATGCAGACAACAAAGGACTTTCAGAAGGATGGGTGGTTCATGAGATTGGGAAGGCTGATGGAGAAGAAAACATGGGAAAAGGGCAGGCAGTTTTAGCTTTTTTTATTCACATTTGTGTATACTTCCCCTTCTATTGATTTGTCAGCAGGGAAATTGCCAATATAATTTCCCCTGTGAATATTTCTCCCCAGTTCTTCCTCTCGTCAAACAAGCTTGACAGAAGAAGATATGAATTTATTTTCTCAGACCTCCCCCTAAAACTTCAGGAAGGCTATGTAGGTTCCAAGAAGGTCTCCTATTTGGAGAGCATTGAAAACACAGCTAAGCCCTGCAGGAGCTGTTTCCAGAGACAAAGTAACTTTCTGCATTCTGTTTCCAATTGGCAAACAGAGAACAGAATAAAGAAGTAAAGGAAAATGAGGGGAAGCCGGTTTTGCTCCCTATTTTATAGTATTAAGAAAAAAAGAAGCTGGCTCACATTTTTACTATGTGTCTATTTGTTCCAATAAAAAAGGAGAGGCAGTAGGAAGGCAATTTTACCCATGGCTGAAACACACCAGTTTTTAGCTGAATGCTCCCCTCCCCCAGAAATGAGAAAAGTAAATAAAAAAGTTGTGTTGTTTTGTCATTCTGGCTCAAAACCAAGTCAAATGTTTTCATTTTATTAGAAAAAGACATAAAAAATGTCAAAAGTTTTCTGCTTCGTTCTAATGAGGGTATCTGAAGGCTGTATCACGCTTCCCTTCCCAGACAGCCCATCCATCAACACGATGCTAATAAGACCTCTGCATAGATGTCAGTGAGGGACAGTGTAGTAGCCAGGTGTGACCGAGACCAAGTGGCTCTAACAACCCCTGTCCAGTAGAAAAAGCAGCACTCTGGCCATTCCCCCCCGTCCTGTTGAATTTATGAGTGTTGCATGTAAAAAAGCAACTCAGCAGACAAGCTGAGACATCACGCCTCTAACAATAAACAGGAACGCTAAATGCACTTAATAATTCCATCATATTTCTGGAGGCACGGCTCTAGAGGGTCTGGCAACATTCCTTGCTCCTAAACATTGGGGATATTGCTGGAACCCGTGACATCTCAAACACTGGAATAAGCTTTAAGTGGGCCCACAGGAACTGGTCTGAAATTTGAGGCACACTGTTCACTAGTACAAGCTTGTTTTTATTCCCAGCACGCTCATAACGTATACTCTTTACCAACATTTATGAAACACACTTCCTCCCTCTATGGCCTCTCCTTTTTGCCGACCAGCTGGTTGCAAACTCCTAGGTGCTGCTTTGCCTCAGCTTGTAATGAAGTGTGATTAGCCACAGTCTTCAGCCCAGTACAGATGGACCAAAGAGCTTCCGCTGCCTCGTCCAGGAAATTAGCCTTCACATGGTTAAAAAAATCCTCTCTCCCATCTCTACAGTACTGGCTCTGCTCAAGGATAGTGACACAGAGGGCACACACCCAGCATGAGAAGTCGTTAGAGTAGAGCAAGGGACCTCAACTTCGACACTGTGTGAGCTCTGCTTATCCCTCTTTCTACACAGGTTGTCTCATCCCGTGTCTCAGATAACTTTCTTTTAACAGCACGATATATCACTTCCTTTCAAAGACAGCCCCCCAGGAGGGTTAACCTGCTCCGAGTGTCTCTGAAGACTACAGGTGTTACGCAATTTGCAGCCAAATATTTTGGTCAGCCCATCATTTCGACACTGCCCAGGGTAAGAATGAAACACTTCTCACTGAAACGTCTCTGAAATGGATGGAGTGATGTTTCCAGTTCGCACCTGGGGTTTTGGAGCCCCTGGGCAGTAGAGGCTATCATGCTGAAATGAAAAATGGCTTGAGCCTCACCCTGGAGCCCCTGAAATATCAAGCAAGCTGCAAACATTGCTGATGCTGCGGAAACATCACGATGCCTCCGTTGCAAGAGGGAGAGTCTCGTGGCCAGTACCGTGCAATGTATGAAATAGCTTCTGGTCCCTGCAGTGGACATGAGATGAAGGACAGGAAGACCACGCTGCTCTGGTGGGGATGCAGGAGAAAGACGGATGTTTCTGGCAAATGAGACTGTGCAAGACGTTTGTGGATGGCCTCTGCCCCAAAACCACCTGAGCAAGGCTCTCCCAGACCTCTGCCTAGGAAGCGACATGCTGCAGGGTTATCTAGGCAGCTTGTAGTGCAGCAGCAGGGCGGCACCCAGCAGACCAGTCAAAAGCCTTTCTAGGGAACCTCACAAGTGTCCCCATTCACCTCCAGCACAGTCAGCCACTCACTGCCCCAGGATGGAGTCTGTCTGGCATCCCCCCAGCTCAGGACACGGGGCAAGGCACTGGCCATGCAAATCCCCCGCTCCCCCCGGCAGCCTGCAGCACCGACCACCCCTTGGCTGGCCACCCCTTTATTTTAAAGCATGTCAGATGTTCACCCCGCCAGAGCACAGCGTTATAATTTGGGTAGGCAGGGTGCAGATGGGCTGGTGTGGTTTCTGTGATCTGAGTAAATTAGCATGTAAACATGTTTTGACTGAAGGAAACTGCAGGGCCGTGCTCAAGAGCAGTTCCTGGGTGGGATTTACAGTGCTAGGCAATGCGTTTAAATGTGGCCACGCTGGCTGGGAGGGAGGAAACACCATAATAAACAGCCAAAGGTCTGCCCTGGCTTCCAGGGAGAAAACTTGCCTCTCTCTTTGCGATGAAGAAGCCACATGCTCTGGAAAAGGCCATATTTTCGGGGTGCAAGGACATCAGACAAACGTAACTTCTGCTTTCTGCCTCAGCCCTGACACGATTACAGGGCCGCAAGAAACCTGATGCCTCTTCTTATGAAGTAATTTGGAAAGAATAAAAGCTTCGTTCCTACAGCTGATATGAAACCATCCCAGTCTGCCATATATATACACCAGAATACCAGAGTCTATTGCTCTGATGTCACTAACAGCTGGGACAGCTTGTACCGCACCTATGCGAGGGCTGCACCTTTGTACCAATGCCCACAGTCTGCAAACACGGGATTCGGTCCTCACAGGGCGTGAAGTCCCCTGTGAAAGCCTCGCGTGTCGCCAGGCCAGGGGAGGTAGAGCTGGGCTGGTGGGCTGCCGGCGTGGGGGCTGGGGCCAGCCTGCACCGCTGTGCTGCTCCCTCATCACGGGGAAACACGGCACAGCAGGAGCAACTCCCACACGAGGAGCAGGGGCTTCCAGGATCGGGGAACAGCGAAGGGACAAACTGCACGCCTTACTTTTCTCAGGAGAGCGCAGACAGATCGCTGTCAATGACTTTCACCTTGCAACTTCTCTCTGTGCGACACACAACTGGTTACGCCTGCCTTGTTCTCTTTCTGCTTGAAAACAAAAGTAGGTGCAACGAGTGCTCAGCACAGGAATCCAGGAGGAGCTATTTGTGCAGATCTTGCAGTGTCTCCCCTGGAGTTATTTCTTTCTCTTCCCTCTGCTTGTTTTCTCTCGGTGCAAAGAGGCGTATCCAAACTGCTTCAGAAGACTGCTTCAGTGTTGTGGGAAGCGGAGACATCAGGGATGCAGCAGGGGACTGCACAGCTTCTGCCAGGCTGGAAAATGCTCTGCACGGGTGAGGAATAGGAAAAGATTCCCAGGTATTAAGCATCAGCTAAAGAAAGAGCCCGAGGAGCTCTTCCCCAGGTACAGTGCCGCTAGACAGCAGCCCGTGTAAGAAGAGGTGCAGAACAGTGGCCTCGGCATCAGGAAGGGAGTAGCCAGGAGGGACAAGAGATCTGAAGTGATTGTGATGGCCTGGAGGAGTGCAGTGATTCAAAGCTTAAAGCTGTTCCTGTGGGTCCATTAGCTGGGTGAAGCGGAGATTATGACGCTATGCAGCTTTGAACACAGGCTGGTATTTTGTGTTAAATTCATGGGACTTCTTCAGGGGATCCTGTAAAATGGCTCTTGTTTGAAGCAATTTTCTAGGAGAGGAAGAGATCAAAGAAATACATCGCAAATCTTCCTGTGAGAGACCTCAGTGGAGCTGATGTAGTAAATATCATTGCCGTTGCTGGTGATATGTCTTGGAGCAACTGGGAAGCTATCCTTCAGACGAACAAATAAGCCTGAGCCCAAATCCCTTGTAACGTGAACGAGCCCAGCCACTTCTTGGGGCATCACTGTTCGACAGAGGCCTTGAGCTGCAAACTCAGGAACAGGCTTGTACCTTCACCCAGAAATGGGCTCAGTATCACTGACAGCGTGCCAAAGAGGGGCACTGGGACATTGTGATGGCAAATTCCTCCAAATCCTCTGGCTGTGCTTGTGCCTCTGGAGTAAGACACAACAAGCAAAGAAAGCCAATCCACACTTTGGATGGAGACCACTTCTCATCTGGAGTGGGAAGCAGCCTTTCCCACCCTGGGGAGAGGCCAGAGCAAAACATGCTGAGGAGAGGGGAAATGTGCAGGACTCTTGGGGAGAGGTGGGCAAGGGGGTGGATGGAAGAAAGAGGGAGACAAATGGTGAAGAAGAGACATGGGTAAATAAACCAGCAGGGATCCACGGGTAAATTCTGGAATCATCTGAA